GGTGTCCGCATCATCTTAAGAAGACTACACCATGAGCCCGACCTCCATGCTCAATGCATCGGTGATGGCCCGCAAGACACACATGGCATTGTAGCACCTTTGTGTAAGTATCTCAATAGTAATCGTCCTGACAAATAGCGGAGGAGAGTATTTATGAGTGATGTTTTTCTTACACTCAAGTTGTCACACATCTTGCGTGAAGTAACTGTTTGAAAATCTGCAAAAGCTCTTCGTGTTCTTTGAGATAAATGAACCGGAGTGATAAAAACGATTGGTTGTTGCGGCGAGAATAGTAAGAACTTAGAAGCAAAGAATTTAAAGACTGGAAATAAAATTTTTCCTGCAATAAAGAGATTAGGCACGGAGAAAGTTTGGATCATGGTATAGATCAAGTGTACTAGTGTGACAGTAATTCCAGTTACCTTGAATCATGAGTTTAGTATTCTGTTTGATTGTTTAGTAGACGGATCACCCTAGTGTTATGAAACTCCTTCATGCGATATTACATTCCACACTATGGTCCTCCTTCTACAGTGCCACAACATGTTCTTCTTCACAATTAAGATGGCCTAAATCGGAGCCATGCATTATGTTCGATGGTTCCCCGTTATCTCATATTGTCTTCGATCCTAGTACTCCGTCCGTCTGAAAAAGCTTATAGATGTCTCAGCTATCACCCGGAGGTCACGGTTCACTAAATAATATTGTTATATGTGCAGGTCTTTAGATCATGTTGGGTTGAACATTCAATTGGACAACACGCATTGCGCCCACCACAATATAATAACTTACTAGACAATCATAAGACTACACACACGAATGGCGACATATAGAATAAGTACAAATGGGTCTTACCATGCACCTACATCTCCCATGCCTAGGTGGAATTACTCACACCTCGCGGAAGAATAACCAATCACCACAGAGAATAAATCCCATGAAAAACATATCAATAATACCATGAAAATCCATAATAATATGAATGATTTAACAAGTCTTAGTCTCCAGATGAGTATGAGTAGAGTTATACACTCTGATATTACAACTTGGGATTAGTCTTACAATGGTGATGATGAGATGAAATGAATATGAAGGTGGAAGAACATAACAGAAAAGATCTTCGGTGGTTCTTCTTCTCCGAATCTCTTCTTTCTGTGTTCTGAATGAAGTGACGGTGGCTAGGTCTCTCTGATGCTCGATGTGCCTTCACGATGTTTGTTCCTGTAGATGAGGGGGAGCCGAGGATGGCTGGTATGAGCGCTTGCGCTTGTACTTGTGCCCGTCTTCTGTTCTAGTGCCGCTTGTGCAATATCTTCCAATATGGAAGTTGCTTCAAGTGACTTGATTTGATGTAATCCTGGTTGGTTTCCGTCCATAAATGAATTTTCCTGCCAAGTAATGAAAGAAATAAGTTTTCTTCTCTATCGAAGGATCAGTGTTAGAAATAACCGAGAAATACCAAAAAACGAAGTCAAAACTCCCTGTAAAAAGTCATAAATTCTCGAGCCATCAACTCCCCAAGCTTATTGTTTGCTCGTCCTCGAGCAACTAAGAAACTAAAAGAATGAAATGGAGTTTGAGAATTGAGTAAAAGAAGTTTACCAGCTCGTGAAGATGTAGTATTTCCATTCTCACAAATCATGTAATCTTAATTAAGAGAATACTTGCATTTGAATGACTGCACTTAAGCTTGCTGCCTAGCCACGTGAAGTATCATATTAATAGTAACAAGATCCACAAGAAATGTATGAGGGAATCAAATTTCCTTCGGTGGAAGTGTATATCTGGGCTCCTCCCTCAATCCCTAGTAAACCAACAAGTTTAGTTGGCTAGAGAAGAAGATCGGGCCGCGCGAGCGGCGTGGCGGGGCTCCAAGGTGGTGACGATGTTCATCAGCGAGCAAGAGCGGAAGCGCTGCTGGACCATGGTTTCAGTTGTGGTGTCGGTTCGAGTTGTTCCCTAGCGCAACTATGCCAATGGCAGATCGACGCTAGTGGCCACGGGGCATGGCGGTGTGTGGGCTTGTATCGGCCTTAGCTAGAGGGCAAGGGGTGAGGCCTGCTTGGCGGTGGCCGTCGGCAGCCATTGGGTTGTGTCCCCCCGTCCACTGGGTATGGCTGGGGACAGAGGCGTGGGCGCTTCCTACTATGGAGGAGCTCACCCCAACCTGATGGCTGCTGCCTGGCTAGGAGTGGAAGAAGATGCCATCCACTCTTTCCTAACGTGGTTGTTGTGTGATGCAGATGGTTGGCAGTGGCTCGAGACATGGATGTCGGTGCGGTGGCCTTGGGATGGCGGTCCGCATGGTTGGCTCTTGGGCGGGCACCCTAGTGGTGGTGGTGGCTAATTCTCTTGGATGTGTGGGCAGTGAGAGAAATAGCGGTGGGTGGCTCAGGCGTGCTCTGTCATGGCGCCCTGATCTGGACTTGGGGATCTGAGCCTGTCATGCTTGTTCTGGAGTCCCCCGTGGTGGCACGGAGGAGTTGCCGGGTAAAACCTCCGCGCTTTGTCGCCGACGACGGTGACGCTCGTGGGCGCCGCTCTCTTCTTGAAGACGTTGTCGTGGTGCTTCTCTCCATGTCTGGGTTCCGGGTGAAACCTCTGTCCATTGTGAACTTGGCAGCGGCGATGCTTGCGCCATTGTCCCTCCTGAGGGCGTTGTCGTGGAGATCCGGCGAAGAGACGGCTCCACTCGCCCTTCGTCGGTGATGCATGAACACACCAACGGAACGGGGGAAGAGCGAGAGAACATCATTCCTAGATGGGGATAGTGTCACTGCCTCGCTGTCCCAAAACAAACTTGAAGATCCCTAAAGAAATGTGAAAAAAATCACGACATGTCCGGGTATGATGCTGAACTCACCGTCGTTCAAGACCATGCACCGACTCCCTCTTCTCCTGTGACCTAGCCGACGTTGAAGATCGCCACCTCGCTGGATCACAATGCAGGTGTCGAGCATTGCTTGCCGACAGTCGAAGTCCGCCAACGCATTACCGTTGTAGTCCCGCAACAGCCAACAAAATCCTCCATACCAGACTCCCGATGAGCAACAGCCTCCCGCCGCCGGCGATGCCGCGCGGGCTTTGCCCTGCGGCGCACTCCGGCGGCGGCGAGAAGGATTGGATATGGCGGCGACGGCTAGGGCTAGTTTGCCATGTCGTTGGTTTCACGCAAATCCTTCTCCTATACAATGCTACAAATTCACGCAACAACGCGCGAGATATCATCTAGTTTTTTGGAAACAAAGGAAAACACATACATCATGTGGGTTCTTGAGTGTAAACTCTTTATGTTTGTGTAATCTCAAGTGTCAAATAAATACTTATTTATTATCCTCTCAATATAAACAAATATGTATTACATTCATTCGCAAAGGAAAGAAAAATCTCTATTAGTACATTCATTCTCGAAGGGGAAAAACTAGAGGGGAACTTCACTGTAGATAAATCTATAGCGGTCACTTACAACCAGTGCAAAATTAAATGGCGAACAAAACAGAATGCGCAGAGACCCGCACGGGGCCGGAGCCGGACCCGGCCAGTCACCGACGGGCGGACCCCGCCACCGGCATGACGTTGCAGCTGCAGCGATCCGCGGTCGTCTCCGGCAAGGAGCCGGAGCCGGAGCCGGAGATGGGGCAGGGGCAGGAGGTGGTGGCGCACGTCTACGACGTCGCCTGCAGCGGCCCCGACGGCGCCGGGGGCGGCGGCGCCACCGTCCTCCAGATCAACCGCATCTTCAAGGACGGCATCGGCCTCGGCGGCATCTTCCACACCGCCATCCAGGTCCGTCCCCATTCCGTTCCCCGCCGCCGCCGCATCTTCCATCTTTCTCCGCGCTGTCTCCGGTGCCAAGGAGATTGGATCTCAGGCGGATCCATTCGCCGCCTAAACTGTAGTTTCTTGGTACAGTCTGTCAGAAAAAAACTGTACATGTTTTGAACAACCTGGGAGATTTCTCGGGATGGATTTGGGAATGTGTAGGAAGCCTGCTTCCATCTCGTTGGTATCCGTGGCCGTGACAGGTTTACTTGATGCGTGTTTTCATGAATTGAATTGCTCAATGGCAACTTTGAGGTTCCATGTTCAGTCAGCAGAATGCAGAACAAGTGTCAGTCTGTTAGGGATCATGCAGAAAACATTTTACCTGTCATTTTGGGAAAGAAATATACATTGATCTACATGCTGCTACTTTAATGAAATCTTATGATTCTGATTCAGAGCACCATACATGGCAGGATACGTGTCTGTATATGACCTATAAATGTGCAATCAAGTCTTGCTTCAGACCTTACTGCATGTTCGTTCTAGATTCCCTGAGGCTTTTAGATGACCCGTACGCCTAGCTATTGATCGGCTTGCTGTGTGTCGCCAACAGGTCTATGGAAACGAGGAATGGTCATTCGGCTACTGCGAGAACGGCAGCGGGGTTTTCAGCTGCCCCCCGGCCAAGAACCCCATGTACACATTCCGCGAGTCCATTGTGCTGGGGAAGACGAGCTGCTCGCCACGCACCGTAAATCAGATAGCGCGAGAGCTCAGCCGGGAATGGCCTGGAGCCTCATACGAGCTCCTCTCGAGGAACTGCAACCACTTCTGCAACGAGTTTTGCGACAAGCTCGGCGTGCCAAAACTTCCAGGTTCTTTTCTGTTGTTTGATGATTTATTTATTCTCAGATACATTGCGCACTTGTTCCTGTTTGATGATGGTTGCCGAAAGCAAAAGATCCTTTTAGGAAAACTCTGTAGCCAAAGATAACCTGCCGAAGCTAGAATTCTAATGCTGTGTTGTCTTCAACTTATGTATTAATCCGAGTGATTACCTTACTATACCCATGTTTACGATGAAGAATGATTTACAAAAATTCTAGTCAATTGCTTCAGATTTTGCAACAAAATTATAACTATGTACATGTTCAGGTTGGATCAATCGCTTTGCTAATGCTGGAGACGCAGCTCTGGAGGCTGCTGAAACTACAGCAGAAAAGGTGTGCATACCTTCTGGGATTTTCTGCTAGTTTTATGTCCTGTCTAGGATTTTCTGGCTACTTGCACTATCACTAGAATTTGTCATGTTTGCCCTCGTAAGTCTACCTAGTCCCATATATTACTAGAATTTTTCAGAACCTCATAGCTGGGCAACTTGACAGCAAGAATCGTATGACCCTGTTAATCAACCTTTAAATAAATCACTGAATATGGCCATTTTAAATCAGAAACACTGTGGAACACTGAACAAACAATAAATATTCATGCTATGTGTCGGAAAGAAGAATTTCTTTTTGAAATTGTTGTTCTACGTCACTCTGGTTCAGAAAGGTACTTCTGAAGAAAGCTTCAGACCTAGGAACAATAGCAATAGCCTTATCTGCTGTGCCGGCTTGGATACAATCTGAGTGTTGTCACTTTATGTATTGAGACGCCGCATACATTGATTAGATGCTGATCTTTTCATCTTTCAAACAGCTCAAACAGGCGAAAAAGGAGATTTTTACTGCATGCAAAGCTGCATCCACATATTTGACTGGTTCGCCTTCGAGTACACCATCAGATGCGGATGATACAGCTGGCTCAACAAGCAATACTCTTTTCGAGGGGACATGGATCAGAAGCATTATTGGCATCAGTATGAAGCCATCGAAGAGCCTTATGAACGATGCATCGTCAAGTTCAGATGATGAAACATCTGATGATGCGAGCAAATCAGATCGTAAACAGCCTGGTAGTGATCAAAACAAGGACGAAAAGGATGCAAGACAAGAAGATCAAAGCACGAAAAGTGAGAACGAACCACCCAATCATCATTCATGAAGCCCACACCATGATGTGCAGAAAGAGAAGCAACTTTCTCGAACCGATAAAAATGGTTACAAAAGAGAGCGGTTTAGACAAATCCTAACATGTACAGAGTCAGTCACATTCACTTGTGGTCAAGAACTGGAAGCTGCGACGTAGTAGTCCTGAGGAGGAGCGCCGAAGCGACGGAGTGCATCACGATGTGTGCGATCCTCAGCTTTATCTGCCCACGACGCGGCAGCGGCCGAACCCCGCTCCGCCTTTCACCCTTGCAGACTCTGATGAGATCGCCGGCACAAACTTTCTCGCCCATGGTGGTGAAGGAGAATGTCTTTCTGTGAGCTTCCTTGGTTGCTTGCTTGCACTTATGCTTGATGTCTGCTCCCTGCGTGGTGGTCTATTTATAACGCTTCAGCGAGTTCTATCCGGATCCAAGACATGACAGCTAGATTGTTGCTCCTTTGCCATCGAATGTATTTGGATGATGTTCATTTTTTAAATGCAAACCTGTATGTAGACTGTAGTGTCTGTCTGTTGGTATGGGAAGCTTCTGTTGATGTGTTTTTTCCATTCATGATTTGGGGCTGTTTGTCCTTGTGTTATCTGCAAATCTTTGACTCTTGAAACACTATGCACCTGCCAGGCCAAATGATTTGCCAATTTTGGACACCTGTGGTGTTTAGTACATTTATCATGTATACGTGCAGAGCAGAGAATGGTTGCCAACCTGTGATGTCCCCAGATCCATGAGTATTAATCTGTTCATGAAGAAGCATCTCTGATTATGATTGTTGATTGTGTGATTATGCTTGTTAATTGGGGGCCGTCAGAAGGTTCCTGTCTCATGCTTGCTGCTAATCATTTGCATTGTCTTTGTCTGATGAAGTGGGTGCTGCAGTATGGTGGTTGGCCTTGACTGGTCTTGGCTGAACATCTGTGCTGTGCTACTGTAGCCATGGAAGGCAATTTTTTTGGTCAACATTTTGTTGAAAAATTAATGCATTTTTCTTGAGGTGTCATATTTATGCTAATCATTTGTATTCCATGAACCAGGAAAGCTGAGTGTGAGTGATGAAACAAGACATTATGATAAAGGCTGGGACAGAGGATGCCCAGGGGACGACACATCTGAAGGGCCTCTCCAAGGTAGTATAAATAATACTTACTCCGGTCTAACAAAATAGCCTCTTTTTAAACAGAGTGTAGCAAGAAGAAGATCCGAAGCACAAAAAGGTGAAATAGAAGAAACCCTAACTAGGCCAAAATCAACCTCATAACCACCATCGTGATGGTTGGAAAAAAGACAAAAAAAAGTGATGGTTCGCTAGAGTAGGCTGCAAGGCCCAAGCGGCCAAGGAGTGCAGCGGCCCGTTATCCTTCCACCGTTGGAAGCGGGCAGTTGTCGCTGCTCTGTGAAGCCAGCCTCACGCTGTGCCTGCCACATTATGGACCGTGAGGCCCAGCTTTCGCATAGGCCCCAGCTGTCCACTACGCAACTTGGAACGGGCGGGCCAACAATAGCACTCTCAAACCAGGCCCGCAGCGCTACGACAACGTCCACATCACCTTAATGCCCCCACTCGGGTTACAAGCTCTCGCAACTGAGCTCGGCGAATGAAGCAGGTGAAGGCGGCTATTTAAGCTGGTCAAATGCCTCCTCGGTTGGCGAGGTGGGACTAAAGAAAGAGGAGTGCTGTGTGCTTCGTGCTGCGAGTGGGAGATGTTTTTAGCGTGGGCTTTGGCAGCTTTAGCAGTTGTCGTTTTGGGCTCATGGACGTGGCCATGTGGGCAAGGCTTTGGCAGACAATTCGTGGATTTTAGCGCTAATTAGCATAGTGAACTTGCTTAGCAGAAATGGAAAGAAATATAAATTGCTGCATGTTGAAAGCCTTGTTGAGTAGTCTTTCTCTCTTCTCCAACCCTCTCCAAACAGCCCAAACAAGTAAAAAAGAAAAGAAAAAGATATTTTTACTGCATGTAAAACTGCCTCCACATATTTGAGTGATGCATTGTCAAGTACACCATCGGATGCAGGTGGGTCAACAAGCAGTTTATCAGAAGCATTTTTGGTATGAGAAGCTTCTGTTGATTGTTGATATGTTTGTCGCAGGCATGATTTGGGCCTTTTTGTCCTAGAGTTTATCTGCAAATCTTACACTGGATGCGCCTGTCAGACCAACCGATGGATAAATTTGTGATCTCAGGTACGTTCAGAGCAAAGACTTATTAATGGTTGCCAACCTGTGATGTCCATTAGTAATCTGCCACCATTGATGACATTCCAGTAATCTGCCCCCAACGATGACATTCTGATGATAGATCAATCATCTGCATTTTATGAATCGGGAAAGGAGAAGTATGATCTGCGTAAAGGAAAAGGCCAGGAATGGATGCAGGTCACAGAGAACACAAAGACAGTCAAACGCCTGCGGGCGCGACGAGGCAGAGCACGTACATGGCGCCCAACTGCCGGGAGCACCTCCAACACGGAGGCGTTCTGGAGGGCAACGGTGGCGGCCGGCATGTTCTGCGTCCTTCAACGTCACCGGCCACTTCACGCTCTTCCTCCACGCCGTCGTCATCCTCGCCACCCAGGACGTCACGCGCGCCGGGATGAGGCTCAAGGGCATGAAGCGCGTCTTCAGGATGACCGGGGACTACAAGTCCCACCCGGACGACGGCTAACAAGACCGCCATGCCCGTCATCGAGAACATCAGCTACCAGGACGTGGTGGCCACCGGCGTCTGGACGGAGGCCGCGAGGATCTAGGGCGCGCCCTTCAAGGGGATATGCATGGCCAACGTCACCGCCGAGATGACCAAGGAGAGGAAGGTGTCATGGAATTGCGCCGATGTTGAGGGCGTCTCGGCCGGTGTCACCCCGGCGCCATGCGCGCTGCTGCAGGGCAGTCATGCCGGCTCTTGCCCGTTCCCCATCGACACGCTCGCCGTCGACCAGATCGCCGTGCAGCAGTGCTCTTACTCCGTTGCACGTGTTGCTTCTCCAGTGGCTGGGACAAAGTAGCTCAACCATATAGTAGTATCTAGCTTCTAGCTGCGCCAAGTGATGAGGCTATTGGATCTCTAAGTGAGAACTGTAACAATAAGGAGCGTGTTGTCGAGTGGCTGCCTTGGTAACTTTAGAAGTAAAAAAACTTACAAATTTAGAATTGTCACTTTTGTTGTTCATCAGTGTCTATCCCAGGCATTGCAAAGGCAGACCGCCAAACCGCTGCTTTGTTGGCTATTATCGGATAGAAAGATCGGAGGTGAACTAGAATACCACAAACCATACCAAAGTCAGACCTCGCAATCAGCACCATACTCACATTTTTTTTGCGGGAACCATACTCACAATTTATATTGAAGAGTCAAAAGATTAAGCAAATAAACCTCCAATATGTAGCACACACAAAATACTCACAATTTATATTCAAGAGTGAAAAGAGTAAGCTAATAAACCTCTTATGTGCAGCAAAAAATATTATCTATTATTTATATTCAAGGGTCATAATTTATACTGAAGAGTCAAAAGTGTAAACAAATAAACCTTCTATGTTTTGCAAAAATAACTCACAATTTATATTCAGCAGTCATAATTTATACTCAAGTCAAAAGAGTAAGCAAATAAACGTCTTACGTGCAACAAAAAAAATATGAAAACACTCTCTACCCAGCACAAAAAAAAAGTGATGGTCCGTTGGAGTAGGCTGCGAGGCCCAAGTGGCCTAGGAATGCAGCGGCCCGTTATCCTTCCACCGTTGGAAGCTCTGTGAAGCCAGCCTCACGCTGTGCCTGCCACATTATGGACCGTGAGGCCCAGCCTTCGCATAGGCCACAAGCGGTCCACTACTCAACTTGGAATGGGCGGGCCAGCAGTAGCACACCCGGACCAGGCCCGCAGCACTACAACAGCGTCCACATCACCTTAATGCCCCCACTCGGGTTACAAGCTCACGCAACTGAGCTCGGCGAGTAAAGAGAGTGGAGACGGGTATTTAAGCTGGTCTGATGCTATCTCGGTTGGCGAGGTGGGACTAAAGAAAGAGAAGTGATGTGCTTCCTGTTGAGGAATGAGGTGGAGCGTTGTGGACTGAAAGAAGTTTTTGGCGTGGGCTTCTGTGGCTTCGGCCTTTGTTGTTTTGGGCTCATAAACGTCGCCATGTAGACATAGTTTGGGCAGCCATTGGATGGTTTTGAAACGAGTGCTAATTAGTACAGTGAACTTGCTTAGCAGAAGTTCGGCAAGCTCAAGCACATCCACGGCGTCTTCATCTCGGACGTGACCCTGGTGAACTCGCCGGCGTGGAGCATCCACCCGGTCGGCGCCCACCAGGTGACCAACACGGACGTCATCAACCCAGACTTGTGCTCCCAGGTGCGCATCGAGGACTGCTACGGCGTCTCCGGCCACGACTGCGTGGCCATCAAGAGCGGCTGGGACGAGTACGGCATCGCCGTCGGCATGCCCAGCAAGCACATCATCCTGCGCCGCCTCGCCTGCGTCTGCGTGTCCCCCACCAGCGCCATCATCGCGCTCGGCAGCAGGTTGTCGGGGGGCATCCAGGAAGTGTGCGCGGAGGACATCACCTTGGTCGGGACGGCGGTGGGCCGCGGCGCATACGTGCGCGACGTGTACGCGCGCCGGATGAGGCTCGACGGCATGAAGCGCATCTTCTTGATGACCGGCTATTACAAGTCCCACCCCGACGACGGCTACGACAAGACGGCTGTGCCCGCCGTCGAGAACATCAACTAGCAGGACCTGGTGGCCACCGGCATCTGGAAGGAGGCCGTCAGGATGCAGGGCATCCAGGGCGCGCCCTTCAAGGGCGTCTGCATGGCCAATGCCACTGCCGAGATGACCAAGGTGAGGAAGGTGTCGTGGAACTGCGCCGACGTCGAGGGCGTCTGCATGGCCAACGTCACTGCCGAGATGACCAAGGTGAAGAAGGTGTCGTGGAACTGCGCCAACGTCGAGGGCGTCTCGGCCGGTGTCACCCCGGCACCATGCA